TTATCTGATACCTGCTCGTCATGAAGACAGAAGACGACGATGGCCAGCGGCAATCAACCAAAAGGACTGGGACCCATCCAAGTACTCCCTAATATGCAACACTTTTTACAAGATAAAGCAATCACAAGTTTGTATTTATTTTATTTCCATTAATTTGGAGGACAATGACACACGTTAAACGTGTCTCTTACTACTGTCCTGTATGTGCGCTGCAACATTGACATTTTTATCTTTTAAGTCAATTGCGTGTTTCACTATTTTCCTCCCCGTCAGTACATATCATGTTTGGCTGTAGACAGAAAAGCCACAGAAAAGTGGACTATTGCTAATGCTACCAGCAAAATGTACATATAAATCTGCTCCAGTGTGAGGGGATGCATTGTTAACGATAATGATAAAGATCATATAGGGGGAATTTGGGCAAAAATAGACATTTTATTTAATCGATAAAATTGACTGGGGGGAGAAGGTACGGGTCAACATCCAGTTAGGCAATCCTTAACTTCTCCAAATACCACTCTTTGTGAGCCCTGACCTGATGTCGTACTTCCACCTATAACGTAATCGAACATTGCTTGAAGCAGCCACTTCTCGTTTTTAAGAGTTGTAGTCCGTTTTGCTCTCGCAGCAATGCTAGTTTCCAATACTTCCGCCGTAAGCTCATTCACAATCACGTGACTGGATGACGATGCATCTGGTCAATAGATAATACGTATTTGAGGCAAGGCATGAACTACATTCACAATTGGGACTGGATATCTTTCAAAGCCCGCCAATCCGATATGCATCTCCCTATGCATCATGGCACAATGGTCAAGATACCATAGATAATAAAGGCTTTTGGTCCCTTATCTAACGTCCCCCTGGCCTGACTCCCGCTAGACCCTTGTAGATCGCTGCGCTTCTCACATGGGTCTGGGTCTCCTTCATAGCGGATACATTTCAGAAGGCGGGGCCTTGATAAAAAATCCTTGTATGTGATTTGATAAACTACTTGTCAGTTATCTTGAATGACGTGTTCCTTCAACCACTCACATCGAAGCACACGGCTCCCATGGGTTGCCAAATGCCGGCAAGATTTTCCAACCCAAAACTCGCCAGAATGCCCAAAAAAAAATACCCAGAATGATTTTTTGGCTAAAAACGTTATGTAATCAACTTGGGCTATCAGGATTCTTTTTATTGTCTTTGTTTTTTTTTATTACCTACAAGTCTCTTGGAAAAAAGTATGCGGGAAACCTCCCAACCTGCTGCGTAGTGTGTAAACAGGAACACTTAAACCAGTGCTTAAAGACCTTATGCCGGGTTTGATTTATTTAGAAATACAGTTTTAATACCATTTTATATTAGAGAACTACTAAAGGTTTCAAAATCAGTTGTTTTTTTTGTCTGATCCTCCCAAATCGAAATAACCCCATAGCAACGCACTTAGAGACGAAAAAACTTCACAGCCCTTGGTGACGTCAGAGTGGGTACGTTTCAACGCTGTAAGTTGTTTACAATTTGGTATTCATTCTTTTTTCGCGGATATTCAAGATGACAAGGCCGTGTACAGCGAGTCTTACATTACTACTATATTGTAACCCTTTTGTCGGCACTGAGTTAGTCCAGTGGTTGTGTCGATGCACTGCCAATCCAGATACTGGGGCTCAAATCCCACCTTAGACACATTTTCACTCTCAAAACGGCAATTTATGTGTAGTGAGCAATTGTCACCTGTAGAGTGCAGTATTATAATGGGCATCAGTGGAGAGAAGAGAGAAAAGGCAGTCCTGTGGCTAGGGCTGGGCGATATGGCAAAAAAAAAAAATCTCCGATTTTTTCACACCAAATCCGATTTTCGATTTTAATCGATTTATTTTTTTCTATTTAAAAACAAACTACAACTGACAAAGAAATACATTTTCCTTTATGCAGTTTAATCTAAATCCCCATGGAGCATAAGTGTAACAGGAATTAAGCCTTAAAACATGCTTGTAAACGAGATGGCTCTGCCATTGTAAACAGTGAAAATGTAGCTTAACAGTTTTATAATAACTTCACTTACAATGACACTATGCACCTTCAAAATAACTTAAATCACACAAACAAGGCCCATCGCAAATATATAAATCCTATTAAACACATGCATTATTTACATGAAATATCACATTTTTAAAACTGATTACTCAAAATAGAAATGTTGTAACAGACAGTCTTTTCCAAAAGCCTCCTCGGGTTTTCATGCTTGTTCTTTCAACTGTGCCTGAGTAACTGTGCTGTAGTACAACGCTCGGTCCAGCTGGTGGCGCTAATACTAACTTCAGTGACTCCCGCATTGTGCGAGCTTCCTGTTTACATTCTGATGCTGTAGCTAACAGCTACTGTAGCAGCTACAGTAGCTAACAGACAGCGGGGAACACGTTGTTTGTATCAGAGCAATGAGAGCAATGTGTGAGTAGTGTCTTTCCCCAAAGTGCAGCGGCTCAGTGGGACACGAGTGTGTGCGCGCCACGGACACGGGAGTGCGCTTTGGAATAACGAGCGTGAGAGAGCGTGAAAGATGTGGCGTACGAACATGGCGTAAGAACATAGCGACCGGAGCTTGCGTGCGTGTGTGTGTGTGTTCTGGCGATTACATAAAGTCTGATTCTTGAACGTTTGAAGTGTTATTGCAACAGCACCAACTGTGAGAGCGAGCATCAGGCCAGAGGGAGACTGTTAGCATTAGGTTAGCTTCAAAATGACTGCTCAACACCATAGACCCGCGGTTAGCGCGTTAGCGCTGTAGTTCTGCGCTGGAGAAAATAAAAATCGAATTTTTAAAAAAAGAAATCGCCCTAAACGTAAAACTCGAATTAATGATTAAAATCGATTAATCGCCCAGCCCTACCTGTGGCATAGATCCATGGTTTTCAATGCATGGGGTTACCCACTATAATGTCACACACAGGTTAGAGCATGGACAACTTAAATTCATGAAAAACACGTTCTTTTTATAAAATATAGGATTTTTTTTGCCGGAATCTATTTCAGATCGACATTGTCATGCAATTTTGATATCCACTATTTTAAAAAAAAAAAACCAGCATAAGGTCTTTAAACCAAACTTTACACAAACATTTTACTCTTAAAACACACATAACATCATGGAACCATCAACATCTCGCCTCATATTGCATTAAAAGTGACATCCGTGTCTTAATTTGTTCATATTTAAACTTTTTTTCTTTTTTATCACAGACTTCATGTCCGCCATCTTGAATTGCTTTCGCTGCAATATGAATTTTAGGGCATATTGCCCAAGATGTGGCGTCCTTTCACTCTAATGTAGTGGCTCTCCTCGCAATTAAAAAACAAAACAAAAACACTCTCCACAAGGGGCCAACTGCTATGGGGTTTCCAGGGCTGATGCTGATAATTAGAGGTCAATGAGACAATATTATTGTGCCGTTAAAGTGAAAAAAAAACTAGGGCTGCAACTAATGATTATTTTGGCAAGTAGTAATAAGTAGTAAGTAATCTTTATTTATATACCGCCTTTTCATTGCACATCGGAGTCTCAAAGCGGTTTACAATTGTTTTTTTTGGGAGTGGGAGTGCCAGTACAGGAGGCACAGGCCAGACCTATTGTACATATTTTTTTTTAGTGGTAGGGGAAACCGGAGCACCCGGAGGAAACCTACGCAGACACGGGGAGAACATGCAAACTCCACTCAGAAAGGCCCTGGCCCAGGACCTTTTTGCTGAGAGGCGAGAGTGCTATCCACTCTGCCACCGTGCCGCCGCAATCAATTATTTGTTTATTAATAAATTATGCTGATGAGAATATTTTACACAAATATGACTCATGTTTAGTCTTTTAATATTTAATTATTCAGATTTTCACTGAAAAAGCAAATAAAATTAATAGATTAGAATCCAAGTTTTGAGCCTAATATAGTATTTTTGTTATGTTTGGATAAAGCCTGGTTCACACGAGACGATTTTAAAATTGTCGGCCAATTTTTCTCCGTGTTAGACCCCACACGGGGAGATTAAAAATCCTGCGTCTAACCACTTTGGTCGTGCAGTGTGTGGTGCGTAGCCACACGGCAAGATCACGCAAGCCACAAACATCACACACGAACCGACACCCCCCCCCCCGAGCATTCCCAGGTCAGACGGAAATCTCACAAAATCGCTCGAGATCAAGCGTGACTTCAGAGTAAACAGTCATGGCGGACGAAGAGGATGCAGTGGCGATAGTGTGCAGTTTGTTGTTAACAGAGAAGACACGTAATCCAAAGAAAAGGCAATGGTCAGAGCCATGCTGCTGTGTTTTGGTTTTTTTCCGGTGTTTCCTCACCGGCTTGTCACCTCGTCTTCTTATTGGCTACACGCCGTAGTCATGGCAACGAGCTCGCTTGTCCTCGGAGGACACCACACACGACAAGAAATCGGGCCAAAACAATCCAACATGTTCGATATCCCCGATTTGAGATCGGGAGCTCCCGATGTCCTTCCGAGCGACGAGTGTAGTTTTAACACACCACACACGGCAGGATAATCTGTAAGATTTTGTTACGGAAATCGGAGCGTTTCTTAAGATTGTCGTAAGGGGTAAATCGGGTCTAAATCGGCCTAAATATCCTGCCGTGTGAACCAGGCTTTAGGTATGTTTTGAAAGTGGACTTATGTAACTTATGTGACTGCAGTGACATTGTTTATTAGAGCAATGTTTTCTGTGACTTTGGTTTAGAAACACATTGGGGATATTTGCTCATCTTAGCCCCCGGCTAAAACCTGAATCAGAGAAACGCTCAGGACCCCGGTTCTGTCTGTCCCGTTAGCATAAAGCTGCTTTTCAAATAAACAATATGAGGCAGTCCCCAGAAAACATGGGAAAGTTTACAAGCTATCGTGCGAGTCTCACTAAAGCCTTTGTGTCTTGTGGTGCTGCGAGTAGTATCAAAAGATATATTCCTAATGACTCTGGTTAAATCAAGGCAAAAAATAATCCTCTTTGGAATAATATCCACATGCCAAGGGTTCACGCAGCCTGCCCTGAAAGATACTTCTCCTGCTACATGCTTTTCCAGTTCCTGTATATTAGATCGATCCCAGTACAGGTGAAGAAGACGTTGAAGAAGAGAAACTGCTGAGGATTGAAGCAGCAGGCTGCATCGAGCCAAAATAACATAATAATAATAATATTGGCCTGATATGTATACCAATCATCCAGGGCAGTGTTTCCCTACCTTTTTGAGCCATGACCCACCTTTTTCATTGAAAACAACCAGCAGCTGAAGCCGTTAATGAAAAATGAAATATGTTGTTCTTTATTAACACTGAAAGTCATTCTCATCAAAGTGTAATATAGACAAAATCAAGCTATAAAGTATTTCTAATCTTCTCACATTATTTTCTTTTCACAATATTTTTACCACTGAGGTAATATTGGATCATTTCCAAAGACACACCCAACATGTCATAACACACTGGTTGAAGTAAGAGGAAGCGATGAACCTAGAGTTCCTGATAAGGAGATTTTATGAGATTATTTTTGACTAAACCGTGACCCCGGCATGAGTCAGACTTCAGTTGAAAATACATGTATGTTGTAATGGATATAATGTTAGGGATGCACCGATGCCACTTTATCCAAAACCGTACCTTGCCGATACTGAACACCAATATGAGTACATTGTTTTATCCCTGGGAATTCATAAAACTAATACAACTGAAATATAAAATGTTTTATTTCTCATTTTAACAATAAGGAAATGCTTTAGCAACAACACATTTTAGCAATTTTTTTTAGTCAACAATATGAGCCACTGTCATGTTCCACTCATACACATGCTAGGTTGTAGAATTGGTCTTTTTTTTTTTCTCTGGTGCTAGCTATACTCCCCGTGGTGGTGAGTTTGCAGATGTTTGATCAAGTTGCTGGTGTTATATGTGTACTTGTATTGGTGCATCCCTACCAAATGGGTACAGTCCAATAATAGAATTGCTAAACCTTAAATACAGTATAACTATAATTAAGTACATGCTCAAAACACAGAACCTTGCTCAGAATCTAACCTTATCATTTGGGCAGTGATAACGTAGTCTGCGAGGGTGATAAAGCGTTTGTTTTGGTCACCCAGAACGTGGTCTGAGTTGTTTGATTAGGAAGCTCAGAGGCATCATTTGAAGCAGCCAGTCAGGTTTGCTTGTTAGCATGTTGTGCTAAGTTCAGAAGACTTCCCACTGTTATTGAATTGCACTGGAATGAATGTGCTTTGTTTTTGTATTGAAAACTAATCATGGAAAAAAAACTTTTAGTAAGATTTTGTGAGTGTTTCCCCTACCTTTTAAACTAGTATCAACTGACTGAAGTTGGCGCAATAGCAGGTTGGTTTTGTATAGCTATAAAAAGGTTACATCCTTCACCATTCACATTCAATGAAAAATAATAACAAGAAAAATTCTACGAGGGTCAATCTTTTATTTACACAGCACATTATATAAACGTGGTGGTTTCTAAAGTGCTGCACAGTGCATTAACTTAACCTCCCCTCAGCATGTTTTTCACTTGAGCTTTGTTTTCCCTGACCTTTAGGGATCTAAAATACTATAATAATTCATTTAATCACTAAATTAAATCACAATGAACTTCATATCATGTTCAAACCTTGAATCTCCCCTGAAATATGTCTATTTTTGTAACTAAATTTGACTAATGCCATCATTAATACAAAATGAAAACATACTTGTCAATATATGGAAGGGGTCTTAATCTCAATAATTGATATTTTGTCAACATGCAATGGTAGCCTGTGCAAAGTTGTCAGCTCTTCTCTTGTGGCCGGGAGTGAGCCAAGTGCCCCCAGTACCTGAAGGTACATGTTTACTAGATCAGTGTTTTTCAACCACTGTGCCGCGGCACACTAGTGTGCCGTATGATATTGTCTGGTGTGCCGTGAGAAATTCGTCTACTTTGTCTAAAAATAACTGCATTCGCTGTTGACGAGCGGTGACTTGTTTTGAACTGTGGAGTAACCATGTAATACTTTTTCAAATCAGTAGATGGCAGCAGATAGCTAAGTACTTTGAAACTGAAAAATTGGATGCGACCACTGGCTACAGGGTCAGCATTGTGGCGAGAAAGGTAAAATTGGATGCGACCAACAAATGTGGGAGGGAGCGAGACAAGAGCTTTGTGGCGAGTGAGAAGTGAAAGTGATAGAGACGTTTTTGAAAATGAATTATGCCGTTTCTGAACAGGATTAACATCCTCCGCTCTGCCCCGGGGCAGCTGTGGCCGCGTTGTAGTGGTTTAACTATGAAATGTACAATTTTTGTACAACAGCTCTCGCGAACGCACTTCTGAACTGGGTACCGAGCGCAGACCATAGTCGAGTGGACAGAACCACAGACATGCGGACCGGACAGAACCATGGACTCGCGTTCAGGACCTCCCGTGTCCCTCATCCAAAACTCCTGAATTTAAAGCTCGGATACCTAAATTTTTCCCATGCACTAACAATGCATGTTCTTTGTGTGAGTTATTATTTGACTATTTGGGTAGAGAGTGGATTTTCTTAGTTTTTTTCCACACAGTTAGTGCCACTTTATTCCCAAACTCTTGTTAATTGTATCGAGAAATATTAAATAAAGCTTAATGTCAAGACCTGGACTTAAGCATTTTGATGAGAATAACTGTATATTGTGAATATAGGCTACAGAGTATACTGTATACATTATAAGATAAGATAAACTTTATATATCACACAGAGTATGTACAGTATATATTTTTTTACATTAGTACTGTATACATTTTTACATTTTCTCCTGGAGGTGTGCCGCAAGATTTTTTCAGTGAAAAAAGTGTGCCTTGGCTCAAAAAAGGTTGAAAAACACTGTACTAGATTAATCTATTAAACATGTATTAGATGTAGATGTTTAGTGTAATCGTGACACGGTCTGTAGCTTTCACTTACAGTTTGAACACACTTCAGGGCATGTCTCTTTTCTGTTTGCCTCGCTCATGGCTAACTATTATTAAAAATTGATTTTGAGGCCTGATTTCAATACTTAGAGTGCTTATATAAATATGTTCACAATAATGGATATATAATAATATTTGGATAGAAGTAGGAACATATTGGAATAAAAAACTTGGTCAGGTTTTTATTATGGGTGACATGATTCCCCTAAATATGTTAAACAAAAGCACACAAGGACTGTGAGTGTGTGCAATCATGCAGAAAACATGTCCTACCTGGACACAATTTCTGACACTTTATCTGGGGGTCACAAATTGAAACTTCAAAAAATGACCTGGAGATTAGTCGCTATGTAAAACTAAGAATTATGAGGCAGATCTACTCTACATACAGTAAAAGTTCTGCTTATTTGCTTCCTTGTGCAAAGTCAGAGCTGATGTCATTTCCTGACCAATTGCTGCTTATAAATGGCATGTTGTAAAGCCATCTCCTTTGTGGTTTGCCTCAGTTTTAGTACACAACAGATGTTACCATAGCAGCATGGGGCTTTTGAACTGCACTTAGACATTTTTAAGGCATTTCGGTGGGAAAAACTCCAATACATCAAATTGTCTGGACGTGTGGTCTTCCTTCAACTTGTATAATTTGTAGTTAGTATCGCATAACACTATTACTCCTGCTCAGTTAAAGTTAACCACATAATGGTCCTGAATTCCAATTACATTATGTGACGTTTATTTTATAGTCTAGTATAGCATAGTCATTCTCACTGGACTATATTCTTAAGTGTATTATTCAATGATTTATTGTTTTCCTCTGTCTATACATGCAGTAATCAATTATATTGTTCAGCATTTACTATACTATAAGTGGTAGATATGTATTTACGTATTTGTATTTATATATATATATATATATATATATATATATATATTTGATTTTGCTAGTATAGGATAGTGGATTAAAACAGTTGTGATGCAGTGTTGAGGGAATAACAATATTGACGTTCTACCATTTTCTATTTATAACAACAAAATACCATGCTGTCTCTCATGTCTTTCTAGTCTTCTCGCACTGCTGGTTCGAATGCTCTGCAAACACTTTATAAAGTTTTGCTTGGTGTATACTGCCATCTGGTGTTTGCTGTCCTTAAATGAGTTGATGAAGTGGATCTAATTGAAATGATTTAAATTTTGTAATCAATAACTACACAATTGAATAACATAAATTGTTAGTTGTAGTTTCCTGTAATCTATAAATTGTAGAATTCCTAATTGATTATTTTTCTCTTCCTTTTCTCATTTTCCCCTTTCCTCCCGGGTCCCTTCTTTCCCAGACTCTGAAACGGCTGATTCCTGATGAGGTATGTCTCTTACAAACTATTGGTGATGGTTTTCATTGCTGTGTAAATATTCTGTGACGCATGTGCGTCACTTTGTGTGTTCTCTGTGACTCCTTAAACATTCTTAATTGAATATTCATACATGTACTCATTCTATAATTCAGGAATCAACATTTTATTCAAATGTTTAAGTTTTAGTAACACACTTTTCCAGTCCAACTTGCTGGTTTGGTTAGACGGTGCCATAGTGCATAGCTTTTAATATCTGCTGATAACCTATATTTATACCAGTGAAGAAACTGAAAACGCCTTTCCTCTTCAAATTATAACTTAACAACCCAGTTGTGATATTAATACTCATATACCAGGCATATAACTACAGAAAAATGTCATAGCCAGTATAGTCTAATCAATCCAAAAGATGACATTTCATGTTTCCTGTCCAAGTTCGGTATGTGTTTTATTTGCCAAAGATAAACTTTTTCATAGTGCACTTAACTATGGCTCACTCAATAAACCTTTATTTTTAAAAGCACTTTTCATAATAGTACCATGATCTCCACACACCTGGAGTAAATTGGTTTCCTTCGGCTAATACTTCCATGGAATCATGCAGGTGTCGCTTTTAAAATGACAAGTGTATAAATTCCCCCACATTGGTCAGAAAATTCCCCACTTTGGGACAAATAGCGGTTCTTATCTTAAACTCCTGTTTTTAATGCAATCGCTCCAATAGATCCACAACAAACAAAGGACAGCCCAGTGTCATATCATATCTTTTCTCTAAATTTCTCCTAATTTTCCCTGTTTGTGCAGTTGGAACGGTTTACGAGTATGAGGATGAAGAAGGACAAGGAAAAGCCTGGTCAAATGCCGAGCCAACGTCATTCCTCTACCGCCAGCTATGAGCCCACCTCCCAGAGCCCCATGCTGCATGACCACCCAGACGAGTATGTGCTGGAGCTCTTTGAACAGATGCTGGTAAGAGAAAAGTGAAATTGGCTTTTTTCTCTTCTTTATAGTGACCTCTTGTGGTAACTTGTATAAAAGCTGGATTCTTCAGTGCAATCTTCTAAACTCTGTTCATTTAAGGTGGATATGAACCTGAATGAGGAGAAGCAGCAGCCGCTGAGACAAAAGGACATCGTGATTAAACGTGAAATGGTTTCCCAATACTTGCACACATCCAAAGCTGTAAGTATACTATCCTCTATAATTGGAACCTTTTCCTCTTGTAAATTTACTTTAATTCTATCACTTATTTTCTTTTTTTTCAGGGTCAAAACCAGAAGGAAAGCTCCAAATCTGCTGTGATCTACATCCATGAGCTGCAGGAAGACTACCGTGATCCCCAGCTGCTGTTGAGTTGTCTAGAGTCACTCAGAGTGTCCCTCAATAACAACCCTGTCAGGTGAGGCTGTTTATGATATGATGATGATTCTTCTTCTATAATTTGAATATATTAGTCTAGCTGCCCCTGCAAAAAAAAAATGTCATTCAACCTATGAAGATTCTCCAGTATGATTTGAATTTACATCTAACTTTAACTGCTGAGACAACACTACACCTGCTATAACACCCTGGCCTATTTATCAGCAGTATTTAATCATTACTTGATCTTGATTCGAACCACATGTGATATTCTGAATTATTACTAACCCACATAAATCTGCGGTAGATCACAGCTCAATTGTCCTAAATATCTAGATCTGGTTTTGATAAAGTTTGAGCAAACATTTTGATATAGTATATTTGGTCCTGTCGCGACAAGGAAAAACTCTGAATGGAAAGTGGTGATGATACATTTATCAACATTTAAGGACATTGGTCATATTTAATTTAAATCATATTCACACAATGGGGTCGAATGGTTACTGTCGCTTGTTCAGGTTAAACATAAACTAGTGCTGTCAAACTATTCAAATATTTAATAGTGAATAGTCTCATTAATGTCACAGTTAACTCGCAATGAATTGCTTCTTTTTCCTTGGTCTAATCCAATCCCATCCAAAGAGAAAGTATTTGGATTGTATAACATAATGTACTCAATCTCTGCTTTTATTATTGCTCTTTGAGTGTGTAGAACTATTTAAGATAGGAGAAATGAATTGTCTAATAAAGGCTGCTCCTATGTTTTTGTTTTCATTCAAGTTAGTTAGATTCTTTTATATGTTAGATGGATGTATATGACCTAAGTAATCAGCATTGAGCGCAAGGGCTTTTGTTTTCTCACTCCTGCTGTACCTTAGATCTGATAACTATTGTTTTATCTTTTTCCAGTTGGGTACAAAACTTTGGAGATCACGGTTTGACACTGTTACTAACGCGTCTTAAAAGACTCCAAGAAGAGAGAGACGAGTATCCGTAAGTTGGCCAAACTCTCAAACGAACACTGTCCCTTTGTCTTAATGTGTTTTCATTTTTTCAGAATGAGGATGGCGATCAAATGTCAGCATGAGATAATTCGATGTCTGAAGGCTTTTATGAATAATAAGGTACATTAAAAGGCAGAACACAAACTCTTTATTGCAAAAAAGTAAAAACAATTGAAGCAAATTTGATGAAGCGGTGAATGGTTACATTTATTTCAAGGAACTTCACCCATTCACACACATTCAGACAGTAGCTTGTTTCCCACCTGCCGACCACTCAGCCAATGATGTATATGACTGTAAAAGCCACTCTCCAAGATACATGGACAGTTTTACTATGTTGTTGTTTAGCAAACAACTATTTGAAGTACCAAAATGGATTAATTTATTTTCCCTCATCAGTTTAGAACACCTCAGCCTGATGTTTTTGCCCCACTGATCTGAACTAAAGGGTAATTAACACATCACTGAAAGGATTAGAAAACCAAAAAATTATGGGACGACACACCCCAGAAATAATTTGAGTACTCTTGCTAATTCCCAGTGGCACTGAGTGAAGCGCCAAATGCAGCGGTTGGTTTTCTATTATATGGTAATAAAATATGTCAAGAGCACACAAAATCCTGCTACACTTGCCTTCCCTCTCTTAAGTGAAGTGATCAGGTGCTTTTCTTGCATCTGTGGGAATCATTTTTGGATGAGAAATAAGAGGAGCAAGTTCTGTTCACTTTCCCTGATGAAGAACGAATCCGTTTGGTGTCTCCCTATATCAATACAGTCTCCCTATATCCATACAGTATTTGTTTGGCATGCAACATAGCGCTTTATCACTGAAGTAGCATTTCAAACGATGAGGAAAATGTGTTTACTACTCTGTATGTAAACTTTCATTTGACAACATTCATCTTGTGTTGTATTTTTCAATAATGCTCTATATTTTCTTCTTTAAAAGCTATAATCATTTTAACGTCTCCTTTTGTTTGTCACATAGTATGGTTTGAAGTCTATGCTGGAATCTGGTGATGGCATCCCTCTGCTGGTCAGAGCTATTAACCCTACAGTGCCTCATATGATGGTTGATGCTGTCAAGCTGCTTTCTGCCATTTCCATTCTGGAACACCCAGATAATCTGTAAGTAACTGAGTATACAATGTTTCATAGACCTTTCACTTAAAGTCACATGTAAACAATGTTTTTATTTCCAGTCAAGAGCGAGTTCTGGAGGCCTTAACTGAGGAGGCAGAGAAAAGGGACATTGAGCGTTTTCAGCCTTTGTTGTCTGGAATGAACAATCACAATATTGCGCTTAAGGTACTCACATTTTTTATTTATTTACAAGATCGAAGTAAACTTCTCTGCAGCAGAAGACAAACAGACCTGATATTTGCACTACTTGCTTTGTCTCTACTAGGGCAGGGCTCCAACACACTTGGTTTTTGGCACTGACCAAAAAAATCCCATATTAACTGAAACTGTACATAATGTTTTATTGATGCCAACTCCGAGCCTATTCAACTCACATTAATGCGGTCTAGAGACTTGCACTGGCCAGGATTGGTCCGAAGCAGACGGTTGGCCTATCCACAACCTGCCTATCTTCTGACCTATAACTTTCAACCCTCAGAATGACCAGAGACTGTTTTACATGGGACATAAAGCTGACTGTCATGTAAATAGAAAAAAGAATATTGGAAATAAAAGGTGTCTAGAGATGCTATGAGATGTGTCATACTCCATTGCATTTCCAGGCCTCATGCATTAACGCTGGAGGCTAACAAAGAGCCTCTCCCCTCTCTTGGGGCGCACAAAATCTTTTTAGATAACAGATGCCGCTCAGGGACGGCAAGGGCTTTGCTCGGTCCAGGAAAGAGTAGTGGAGCGAGGGGAGGCAGTGGGGGGACCGGGAGACTGGTGTGTGTTCATATTATTGCAGGTACTGAATTAAAAGAGCTATAATCGTTTCTGCGAGGTTTGTTTCAGTTTGAATGTTTAGCACCGCCCCCCAACTCGCTCACAGGCTTCTCATTTCCCCTACGCTCTCATCCCACGAAGCCATCTAGTTTTATTTGCTGATACATATGCAAACATTAGTATGAGCGTAACTTCTTGTAAGCTGTACAACAATCACTGATGAAATGGTACAAAAGCAACGCGCTGCTAACACAATATATAAAGATTACCGCTAGTTTCACGTCCGAATGTAGTCCGAGGCGGTCCCACACCCGCAGATCTCTCCCATAGACTGTAAGTCTCTCCAGAGCATACAATGTAAGCTAGCTATGATCTCCCGGGCTTGAGTTCTTCATTGCTAATTTTTTTGCTTTAGTTCCCTCTTCTCCTCCTCATTGTTGCGTTGTTTGGGCTGTTTTGCTGTATCTGCAGTTACAGCTAGAGGAGGTATAGCCACTATCGGCTCCATGCTGCTCTTGTTTATCGGCGCTGTAGAGGCTAGAGGAGGCAGCCTGTTCGTAACAGTGCTGCCCCTCGTTTTGTGAGTGGAGGAGAGCAGCGTCACGCTAAGTTTATACTCAGCACTTTTTCCTAACACGAGCTGAATCAATGAGCTCAAGTTTTCAATTAAATTACGGATTATAATACAACTTGTATGTAGTAATAAGGATTTTTATGAACTCATTAAAAAAAAAGGATATAGCTAAGGAACCGGTATAGAAGACGACATCTAAGAGTCCTTCCTTACATGATTAGAATCTAGTCATATAGGAATACTTGTTGTTGATTTGTCATCATGTGTCTTCTAATAGCCATAGAGAATTATTTGTCTTATTTATGCCCATTCAAGAATAATTTTGTTTGTAATAAACCACATTTACTCCGGTAATTTATGTATTTACTAAATTGTATTGCTTTCATTTTTATATGTTTAAATGATTCTACCCAGGGTGGCTGTATGCAACTGATCAATGCTTTGATTAGTCGAGGAGAAGAGTTGGACTTCAGGATCCACATTCGTTCAGAACTGCTTAGATTGGGACTCCGAGATCAGCTGAGGGTACGTGCAATCCTCACATATTGAAATGGGCAACATTGTATGTAATTTCTCATTGTGTATCAAAGCATATATACCTACTCATTTTATTTTCACTCTGTTTTAGGAGATACGGACCATTGAAAACGAGGAGCTTAGAGTACAGCTCTCTGTGTTTGACGAACAAGCTGAGGATGATTCTGAAGACCTCAGAGCACGCCTAGATGACATCCGCATCGAGATGGAATATCCTTTTTGAAATACTCTTTACATCAGTCCAAGCTTCCTGACTGATGCAACATGGTTCCCATGGTTATTAAAAGTTGTGTTTATGATTCCACATATCGTTTTTCTCTTAACTTTAGTCTTAATGATGTGAGGGAGGTGTTTGAAATCCTGGTCAACACAGTTAAGGACTCAAAGGCTGAGGGCTACTTCCTGTCTGTTATGCAGCACCTTCTGTTGATCCGAAATGACTATTTGGCCAGGTAAAGAACACCGAGCTCTCACTTTCACTCTTTTACTGCTTACACTATACAGAAGAGAAAAAAAGTATTTAGTCAACCACCAATTGTGCAAGTTCTCCTACTTGCATCATAGGTATACCTCTCTCTATATCTAACTAAGAGAGACGGAAATAGAAAAAAACATAAAATAAAGAAAATCACAGTCTGATGTTTAAAGCTTTTATTTGCAAATTATGGTGGAAAATAAGTATTTGGTCAATAACAAAAATGGTGTTCTTTGGATGCAAACCAGCATTATTTCTCCTCCAAACACGACGAGTTGAGTTTTTACCAAAAAGATCTCTTTTGGTTTCATCTGACCCTATGACATTCTCCCAATCCTCCTCTGGATCATCCAAATGCTCTTAAGCAAACTTCAGACGTCCCTGGACATTTGCTGGCTTAAGCAGGGGGACACGTCTGGCACTGCAGGAATTGAGTCCCTGGCAGTCTTGTGTGTTACCTTTCTTACTTTGGTCCCAGCTCTTTGCAGGTCATTCACTAGGTCCCCCCGTGTGGTTCTGGGATTTCTTCCCAACGTTCTTGTGATCATTTTGACCCCACGGGGTGAGATCTTGCGTGGAGCCCCAGATCGAGGGAGATTATTTGCATCATTTATGATCTTGTATGTCTTCCATTTTCTAATAATTGCTCCCACAGTTGATTTCACACCAAGATGCTTACCTATTGCAGATGCAGTCTACCCAGCCTAGTCTGCAATTTTGTTTCTGGTGTACTTTGACTTCTCTTTGGTCTTGGCCATAGTGGAGTCTGACTGTTTGAGGCTGTGGACAGGTGTCTTTTATACTGATGAGTTCAAAAAGGTTTCATTAATACAGGTGACAAGTGGAGGACAGAGGAGCCTCTTTAAGAAGAAGTTACAGGTCTGTTAGAGCTAGAAATCTTGCTTGTTTGTAGGTGACCAAATACTTATTTTCCACGATGATTTGCAAAATAAAGACATTTAGAGGTCAGACAATGTGATTTTCTTCACCGTATTTGCATCTTTCAATTATTATGGCCTTTCTTGCCAAACGGGTACAAATCTAATTTATGAAGAAACGCTTCAGTCACAATCCTTTTTACGGATGTATGATTGAAAGTGCATTAGTATTCTATAGAATATTTGGCTTTGTCCTTCTAGTTTTCTCTATGCATTTGCACTTATTTCTGTTTTTCCCTTGAGTGCTCTCTTGGAGTGGTAAATTTAATATATACAATGAAGTATAATTATTTTTTAACAAAATTAGTAGTATGCTAATGCATCACCACTTCTTTGTCCTTTAAGACTTTGCTAGAAAAACAGAATCGGAAGAGAGAAGTTGAACGACAATATAGAGGTGGATTGTGACATGTTGTTTGCAATATAAACTTGGCAACATGGAATTGTCTTTACCGCAAATTAGGTTGACATTTGTTCTGATCACAGACTGTAAAGATTGAATGTTGTGTATATGTTCTTGTTCTACAGTACCTGTGTTTGGTCACTTGGTGTCTCTCTCGCTCCATCATAAAATTTGACTGCTTCAGAAAAAGAAAAAATATATACTCTGCAAGTGTAGCGAAGCAGGGAAATAAGTGTTAGACAAAGGCAGAGTGACTAAGAGAAATCAGGGGAGGGAAAGACGGAGACAGAATAAATAAACTATTGTGACTCTGGCTGCCTCTAATGGGGTCAGGGAATAAGACACCTCCAGAATTGACTTGTCTGTAAAAGTTGCTTGATCAGACGGCGGCTTCGGACCTTCTCACACTTTCTCCATGGCAGCCGCGCGCAATCAATCTTTGTGACAAGTAACCAGAGCTGTCATGCTCAAGCACACATCCAATTTCAGTTACAGACAAAAGACTGAGGCGACATGTGCACCTGTATGCTCTTTGCTAGTCACATCCCAGGCTGCCTCTCCTGATATTTGGGCAATCAATATTGCCAGGTTTTATCTATATTGCGCTGCTAATAGTAATTGTGAACTGAATACATAAATACGCAACTTGAAACTTACAAAATGTGCCTTCTTTTTAATCAAATCAGTGTACGTTTCTTTCTTCCAGGCCTCAGTATTACAGGTTGATAGACGAGTGTATCGCCCAAACTGTTCTTCACAGGAATGGCGCAGACCCTGACTTCAAATGTCGAAGTCTAAACCTCAATATTGAGAATTTGATAGGTGAGAACTCGGATGCATGTGCAGTGTCTTCCATCTACTGGTTTAAACGTCTGTTATATATTCAGGATCATTCTTTAAAGATTAATTTTATTTCAAATTGACATTTTTCAACGATTCCCATAGATTTGCTGTGGTTTATATAATGTGGTTGTGTAAATGTTTTATTTGTATATTGCTAAAATATTCCCGTCCAGTATAGAACATTTTAAGCACCAGATGGAGCCAACGAGTAGTTCTCAAGCTGAGCTCAAAGTCCAACAAAGGACATTCATTTGGTGCAAAACTGACTATAATCATGTTTTGACTATAGGTATTGATATTTACTGTTGTGTTGTGTGTCTATTATTGTTGAGCTTTTTTGGTAATCACAAATATTGATCTTAAAACCTCATTATTAAAACATTGGTCTTCAATTCTTTATAGTCAAAACAATGTATATTCATAGTTTTTGGCAGTTTTGTAAGCAAGCAAACATCTAACAGTCCTCAACTCTCCGCAGGATGCTTGGTAGAATTGGTTGACTCCCTGTTTATGACAGGCCTGTGTTATGCGCCGCATGAACAGCCAATTGGACAATTTCTAAAAGTATCCTGACAAACACACAGGCTGGTTGGCCTCTTTAAGACTGCCCAAGTTATTATCTGTGGAAAGCAGCCCAATTCTGCCCCGCATGCATTATTTAGTGTTTTTCTTTGAACTCTAAAATTCAGCACAGTTTTCCCGGCACATTCTGTCTCCCTCAGAGCTTTCTATTCAAAGTTTGTCCCATTTAGCCTACCACCATGGCAGACGTAACCCCCATTACACATCTCATTATGCATAACATTTAGACATGTTTTAGTGACTGTCTGAATGTTTTGCTACAACCTAAAAATTATACAAAGGAAATGAAAATGATAGCATTAAAAAATATAAAAAAGACAGCCAAGAGAACCAATAAGGTAGTTTGCAGCGTGTTGGTGGGTGCCATCAGTTTGATTGCCCTCTTGGGTTGCCTTTGATGAAGTGACTCTGTGGCATTCATCTTGTTGGTAATTAGCTTTTTACTGCTCAAGCTGGAAAAGCCTGTGGATAGTAAACCACTTGTAGACACTCCAATTACGCTGTGAAAGTGCCCCGCTGGTCAGTCCGTTTTCCTTTCACCGTTGATTCTTTCAAGCAGAACCTTTGATAATGAATGACCCACAAACTTGTTAATTGACTTTGAGAAACTGTTATTACATTTTTGAATCCCTATAAAGTATACTACAAAGCATCACGATCTTCTTTTTACAGATAACATGGTGGACCAGACTAAGGTTGAAACCAGTGAAGCCAAAGCTGCTGACCTGGAGAAGAAGGTTGAATGTGCAAATTATACACTCATATTGACATTGTGATATCGCAATACTTGCCAAATGTTTGTTTAGCTATCCGTAGCATGACTGCAGAAGGTGTGAATTTCTATTTACGTTTTACGTATATGCTTTCATACCATGCACATACAGTTTACTGCATTTTTTGCCAACTATTTAAATATTCCTTAGTTGGTATTAGTTGGTTAACTTGTTACTGGCCTAATATCCATAATCACCCAATACATTTGTCTTTCTTAGTTGGATGCAGAGTTGACGGCTCGTCACGAGTTGCAGGTGGAACTTAAAAAGTTGGAAGGGGACTATGAGCAGAAGCTGCAGGATTTGAGCCACGAAAAGGAGCAGTTGGCCTCTGTTAAACAAGAACGAGAGCAGGAGAACCAAGGACTTCAGAAGCAGCTGAGCACTCTGCAGCAGCAGGTATACCACTTCACCACTGCCAAACTTTTACAGTGCAGTATAGCCAGCCGAAATCTCAACTAGGGATTAAACCGCTCTGAGCAGTGAGTTTGTATGATTTGAACACACTCTTCGGAGTTACAGCACTGCTTCCAGTTGTTTATTCTTCTCATTCCATGCTCAAAATATGGACATATATTTTGTCCACAACGTATTCATGTTGCATACATGTTTGAGAAAAGGGACTACCACAATCCCTTGTTGAGCTTCTTAGCAACTGTTGTCATGACCAAAATAAAGACCCACTCACAAAGAAGAATTCCTTTATTTGGACTTTACACAATCATAAAGACGACATCAGAAAATATCAAGGGCCGTATGCCTAAAGATTCTGAGAGTCCTCTCGGCTAGCTCCTAACCTAACCTAAATCTCCTAGCTAGGAGTCTTAGCTTAAAAGTTTTTCCAGAACATTCTCAGAATTCTGAGCAAGGAATGGACAAAAACTCCTATCTTAGTGAGGAGGCATGGCCGACCCCATGGCTTAGCGTGACTCTTGAGACGTTGTGATTGGTTGATCCTAAAAGTTAGAGAAAACATACTTTTGGTGATAATGGGCAAAAAAAGACCCCTCAAATAGACAAACTTCATCGTTGAATCTAATCTTAGGAAGACTGTGTCATTGTAAACAATATTCAGCATAAAAGATATATCAATGTAAAATAAATGCTGTGAATAGTAAGTTATACTTTTAAATTGTCATACAGAATGTGTGAAAATTTAAGCCCACTTGCACAGTATTAAAACAGTGATTGTTATATTTATTTACTTATATTAATAACCTTGCTGGTCATTTTTTCTCTTTTTAACTTTTACTATTTCTACTCACTTCAGTGTTACGAGGGTAAAATGGCACTTCTGTGATTACTGACAAGCCTATAAGAAACCGTGTTGGTTGACTTTCAAATATACCTCAAAAAAGTGAATAGCAATAGAGAATAAATTTGGCCCCACTGTCGCAGATATCACCTTAGGAACTAAGATTCTTTAGGAATAGCTTTTTTTCAAAGTAGGATCTACTCGCCACTTTTAGGGGAAAATCTAAGAGTATGTCATGATTCTAAGATTATTCTTAGAATTTGGCCGCAACTCTTGGCACTAAGAATCTTTAGGAATAAGGCCCCTCATTTCTTTGCCTGATGACTGACCTCTCAAAACTTAATTCTATGAAATATTTTGAGAAGTCTGATAGAGGCATCTTAAATCTTTCTTGGAATTCAACGACATGCTTTTCAAACAGGATACAGGAAAAAAAACACAGAACCATTACAGCAGCAAGTAAAATAAACACCGACCAGAGGAGCTGAATCCACCAACCGAGTCAGTCTGCAGAGCCTAGTGAAGCCAACTCTTATCCAATCACTGAAATTAACTGTGGTCCATGCGGTCAAAGTTTGATCCCTACTTTTTACATATCCAGAGCTGGATCAACTTTTGTCATTATCATATCCAGCCACACTTAACGTGTTAAAACTTAACATTTTCTCTTTCATTTTTAAAGTGATTTAGATGTATATCGATATAATAATTAGGTAAATAAATATTACTATACAGCTCCTTGCAGTAGCAGTAGAACTCTCCATTGATTTGAATGTAATTTCAAAAAACTCTATCGGCCATTTTTTCTTGATAACGGACCTCTCAAACCAATAATGGCCACTGCCAATGGCAACTCAATTTGACTTGTAATTCAGGTGTGTAAAGATCACTCTGCAAGTAGTCTGGCCACTTCTTCAATGGGCTTTCAGCAACACAGTGCTTGCCACTACTTCTGACTCTGCGAGAGAAGCTGTCTGCTCAATAAACACAAATCACAACACAAATAATACATAAAAATCCTTAAAGCCACCCTGTTTATTTTTACAGCTGCTCCATATGAAAAAGACAACTAATACCAAATGTGACCTTTTTAAGAATATTTACCTCCACCATGTTTGATTTAATTGTATATATAGGCTTAGAATTTAACTTATACGTGTCCATGAGTGAGGAGTGCTCTCTGTGTCAATGCGCCATCTTGAAATACAGTGGTGGATAAGGGACAAAGAGGATGAGAGAATCGCGTTTTCCTTTCACATGAGCTACTGATATAGTTGCTTTCACTGTGCCTTCACAAGTAGGAAGAAGGAGGTTTTCAGAATCATCTGTTAACGGTTTTATGTGAAAAGTACTGTTTTAATGTGAAGAAATCAGAGCGCAGGGAACCCGGAAGTTACAATTAACATTAATGAAACATTTTGGGGCGCATTCGCACAAGATCTCATTATCTATTTAGCTTGAGTGTGTGTATATATGGGTCACTCACCGCTCATGTTCAGAATTCTTTTTTCAGTTTTAATGTAGTTTGAGAAAGTTCTAGTTTTGAAGTAACTAGCCTAGCTATTACTCGCCTGGCCACGGCACAGCAAAATCTTTGGGATTTATTTTATCTGCAGTCATTCATAAAAGTGGACTGAAGTTAAGTTGGCCCAAAGCTGTATAAGGCGGTTCGCCCTGTCGGTACTTTTTTCCGATAATGACTTGCGTTCTATACTTTATCCCTTACTTATAATGATTTATAATTGTGTTATTTTCTTTAGTGCATTGTGCCATAGGCCAAGTGACTTTTCTCCAATGGCTGTTGGCCTATTCCATGCTGAACCGTTCCTGGCCTAGATCCTCTCATTGCTCGCTTTGAGGACTTGACTCGGCTCATTATAGTTTCGACATGTGCAAACTACGTCAAGATGTCCTGATTTTTTTTGCTTATGCCCATTTTCGTCATCTTAAAATTGTGAATTTTAAACAGGTGATCAATTTTATCAAGATTATAGACCCCAAAGACTGAACTGCTACGTTCTTAATGCACTATCGGTATAATCAGTATTGGGAGCTGGCTTCTTCCTGATTTAACAAAGTGATATTTGGATGTGAAAAAGGTTAAAAGACCTCATTATATCCTGATTGATGCATTAGTGAAGAGCTAATGACTGTTTGTGACATTTTTGTATATGTTATGCTCAGTGAGTCTGTCATTTGGAGAGCTGGGTTAACTCTGTGAGTTTCCTTCTCTGGAATCTATACGGCTGTGTCATTAGACTCTGATCCATCATGGACCAAATTCAGAAGTTTAATTTTGAATCACTTTTTTCTTCATAAGTTTTAGCGTTTTGGAATTGTTCTTTGAAATTCTAATTGGACTTGATTACCCCCTGCCAGGCTGCTCTTTGCCTCATGCTCCAGTCTTCCCTAAAAACCTCCCTAACTTCATCTGACCCATTTTAATCCCTCTTCATTTGATCACCCAATTGAGCGAATGCCATGCCACAACAAAAATAGCGGATGAAGTAACCATCAACTACAACTAATCTTTTTTATATAGTATAGTTTAGTTTAGAGATTAATAAAGGTTTGGGTTAGGGTTATCTTATCTTAGGGTCACACAACGCTCCTTACTATTTTGATGTATTTATGATTCACTTCACACACAGAAGTGGGACCACCATTGGACCTTATGAGCCCAAAACCCCCTCCACATTTGTATCTATTGTATTGTATTTAGTGGAAGGAGAAACAAGAGCACTTGGGCACAGGATATCGCACATACTTCATTTAAATCCTAAAAATATACGCTGTACCGATTTCAATTCCACAGTAAAGTGCCTTATTAAGACAGCTTCAACTTATACTTTTATTATGTCTTTTTTACAACCAAAAACAAAGATTTTATTTTGTTTTTTATTGAAAGTTCACAGCAAAAGACAACTGAACTGAAGTGAAGCTAAAATGATGATTGGGCAAGTATTCATACTTTGTGGAACCCCCAGTTGGTCTTTTGAGCCATTCTTAATTTCTGAATTTTTCACGTCTTTCCACAGATTTTCTTTTGGATTTAAGTCTAGACTTTGACTGGGCCATTCTAACACATTAATATGTTTTGTTTCGAACCATTCCATTGCAGATTTAGCTTTGAAGTTTAAGTGATGTAAAAAATTGGAAAATCTTATATAAAAAGAGTTTAAAGCCGTGTCTAACTTAACGCTGCTTTAAACTTCACCCCTGACCTCTGGTGTGCTCCTTGGCTTCCATGTTGCAGTTTTGTGACCAATACACTCAAACCATAGCTCTGAGGCCCACACAGAGCAGCTGTCTTTATACTGAGAGTAGACCACACACAGGAAGCCTCTATTTAATCATCAGGCCTAGGTGTGAACATTCAGCAGTCTAGGAATGGTTTAAAGGCCATTTAATACTCACTACTTGAATACTTGTCCACGACCTACTTTTCTACAACAAAACAAAAACAATTGTGTACATTTTTATGTTCACGTCACAGTGGTCTGTTACTTGTGTGTGAACTTTCAGTAAAAAGAAAAATGTATGTTGTAAGCTTGACAAAATCAAGTCGTATTTTTGAGAGGCTCTGTATTATACCACACATTTCCTTCCAAAGAAGTGATCAAACATTAATGGACTTGACAATTAATAGAATGATTTGCTACTGACTTCTTAAAACGTTTTTTTCCTTTTTCTAGATTGAAAAGTTGAAAAAAGATTTGGAAGAAGCCAAAACTAAAATTGTCACAGTAACTGTACCTGTGATAACACCTGGACTTCCCCCGCCTCCTTTAAATTCTGGATCTGGGCCAGCTCCGTCTCTTCCAGGCCATGCAGGCATGCCTCCACCCCCACCTCCACCACCACTTCCTGGGATGCCTGGTCCTCCACCTCCACCACCACTACCTGGGATGCCTGGACCTCCACCTCCTCCACCTTTACCTGGGATGCCTGGTCCTCCACCTCCCCCACCCTTACCTGGGATGCCTGGACCACCTCCTCCTCCACCTTTACCTGGGATGCCTGGACCTCCACCTCCTCCTCCCTTGCCTGGGATGCCTGGACCTCCACCTCCTCCACCCTTACCTGGGATGCCTGGACCCCCACCTCCTCCACCTCCCCCTGGAGGACCAGGTGCTCCCCCACCACCACCCGGGCCTGGGATGCCACCTCCACTGTTTGGGGGTTGGACTGCAGCACCTGCTCCCCTGCCTTATGGCCTTCAGCCAAAGAAGGAATACAAACCTGAGGTCCAGCTCAAGAGAGCCAACTGGAGCAAGGTTTGTATTGTAAAATCTCTGCCCACCATTGATTGCTTGGTTCCCACTCTTTTTTGCTCTGTGTATTTGTATCCCCAGTTGTTAAGGGGAGAAAATAAAACTTTCATGTTCCACAGGGGTCTCAATCTAATTTGATTAACAACATTTTGGTATATAGACTCTACTGTTTTCACATTTTCACAATTTTCTCACATTGATTGTAAGAGATGTACAGTCTACCATGGCATGATATACATAATTGTATTGGTAATTCGAATTAAGAATTCAATATGGAGCTTGAACTGATACGTTTTTTAAGATCCCAGACCATTTGGCAGATTCCAGCCATGTCCATATTTATTCCTTTTCCTGAAACACCATGTTGTTTCTTTTTGGGTCTGGGCAGTAATACAGTTGAAACCGAAATATGGCGTCCATGGATTGGTGAGAATAAGCCCTGACATCCGCCAACTGGCTTCTCTCAGGTTAATGATGACAGATGCATTATATCTAGATGAATAATTATCCAAATTATCCAATTATCCAATAATTGAAGCCCTAGTAAGAATACTTTGTCAAGACAGTGTGGACCTGATATTGTGGATTTGAAGAAATTGGATTCTGACCTAAAATTACTTGCATGCATATGTGTCTCATATAATTTGTGCCTGCTCTCCTCTCATCGGCTATGGTTAAAACATCAAAACGATCTGTCTTTCTTCAGCCTAAAGCTACTGTTTAATGGTTCCAGCAGACATCTTCAGTGTTTAGTTTCTCCCTCTTGCTCGGGCTGGTGCTGAACTGGTGCAAATGTTTGACGAGGATGTCACTGAAATTGCCTTTTAATAAGCCTCCTTCTTTTAACTGTGCCAGTGAAAGATAATTAAATTGCTGCTCGAAAAGGACTGTATTCTTTTGTCATTCAAATTTGGTTTTTCAAGCTTGGCTTTATCTTTTATTTTATGAGCTCACCCATGACTCCTTTCACATTCCCCTTCAGAACTCTTCGTGTCTTGCCGTCCGTCCAGGCTATGTAATAAGATCTTTTTCTTTTTTTTTTTTTTTACAATTACCACAGTATGCTTTACCCATCATCTCCATTTCCTTATTATAGAGACAGTAAAGGAAACTCATTAATTACTTCTCTCAGACTAATATTAAATTAAAATGGAAATATGGGGAAGCTGAGAGTTCTACTACAATAAAGATAAAAGCTAATTCATGAATGTGTGAAACAACACGGCTAAGATAAGAGAGAATGTTGACTTGTTTGAGGGTGGACTTAATATTGTGCAGTCTTATTATATCTTTATCACATTTAGTCTATGATTAAATGATCCTGAAATTTTTTTTTTTTTTTTCAGATTGGTCCAGAGGATCTTTCTGAAAGCAGCTTCTGGACAAAAGCAAAAGAGGATACATTTGAAAACAATGAGCTGTTTGCCAAACTCACCTTGACCTTCTCCTCACAAACAAAGAGTATGTATTTGCCAGCTGCAGTGTGAAAGTGTGGTGTGTCATTGTTATTAACCATATGTTTTTTTGTTTCTCATCTCATTATCTTTGCTTTCATCAGCCACAAAAGGTAAGAATGAACACCCCACCCATTTTTTGTTCATATAAAGTGGAATAACACGATATGGTGCAGTACGGTATGAAATATAATTGTTGTTTTATAACATGAACATTAATTGGAAACTCTTGCAATATTGGCATGAGTGGGCTTGCACTGATGTGACCTGTAACGTTATTATTTCAAACACAAATGGTTCATAGACAAAAACAGGAAAAGATATCAGACCTGGTATAGGTTGACACCAGTGAGTCCACAAATATTGCACTGAACTTGGTTTTCCGGATCAATCAGAGTCATGCTAGTCTCATGGAGATGGATCTTTTGAAAGCTATACTGAGATATAATTGCTGTGCCTTGAATTTCATTACTTCATTAGAAAAGTGCTTTGTTTAAGAGTGCTTTCCAGTGTATGTTTGCATCGTTTGGAGTGGTGTATATTAAACCAGCCCCTTCTGTGTGTACTCGTCTTCATCTGGACATCATTAGATCTGATCAGATGGGGAGAGTAGGATGGCCAGTGTGAGACGGACAAATAAAGGAGACGAGAGGGAGGAATAAGGAGAAGGTCACTGATGTCCGCCAACCGCCACCTGCTGTTGTCCTGGCACAAAATGCTGACACACAAACACACCTGTCCACTCCTGTCACCTTGTCCCTGTGTCACAGCGCCTTCTGCTTCCCCTTCTCCATATTCATATTCCATATTCTAGAATTAGGAAGTCCATAGAATGACGGCAGAGGTAATTCTATGTGACCTTCAGCTCCAGTCAGCCTTGGTTCACATGCGCACGTACTGATGCCATTATGCATAAACACAGGCGCAGGTGCAGTATAGAGGAGGCTCGCTGTTGATGCAAGTTAAATGTCAGCCCTGGCAGCTCTCCCTCTTGGCATTCACCGGGATGGCACTGGTAAAATATGCCTGTTGGGTGCTTAATTTAACCTCTCGCCAGAGTCTTGGCTTTTTATTGGCATAGACCGGCACATGTTCTGGTTTATGTCCAATAACCTTTCCTCAGAGCACGCTATGAAGACGCTATGGCCTTTTTATCTTCCCTACCTATCAAGATTTCTGACGTTCTGGATAAATGGAAGTCATATTCTCTTTTCCACTGCTGCTTAGTCATTGAGTTTACTCCTGTGTAATTTTCCCAAAAGGGCCATAGCTAGGGCTCATCTCACTAACAATAAAATATTTGTTGATTTGCATAATGATATAGGGTAAAAACAAGAGGTGCACCGATCAAGAATTTTTTGACAGATCATTAACATTTTTGACTTGCTGACCCGATCAAATATTTATATTTTTTTTGATAAATGAATAGGACTAGTTATTCACTTTATAACTTTCATTTCATTTTTCAAGGTACTAGGTAGTATAAATAAAATGCCTATGGGGTACTCAAGACAAAAAGGTTGGGAACCACAAGTATACGTTGCAGAGCATTGAGATACAAAAAAAATTGCAATGAAATGCAGCAATACTGTACATGCTGCATTTCTAAACTGATTAAGAAGAGATAGTTAAGGCAATGTTTTTTCTTCAGGAATATTAGCATCTCAGCATTTGCAGGGGTTTATTACGTTTATCATCCTGAATATTCCCGCTGCGCTAAACAGCCGCTCACTGTCTACACTTGTACATGGAGCGCAGAGGAAAGCTTACGCTGCTTTGGCCAAAGCAGGGAAGCGGCTTTTATTTTCCTTCCAATAAACAAGCTGCTGACCGCTCCGAGGCGTAACTAGTTTCGCTAGGTAAAGCTGCATCAGCGACACTGTAGTACTGTCTGTACTACCACTACACTCATCTTCCTCCATCATTTCTGTGAACTTAACATGCTAAGTCCCGACACGGGATGTCTTTGCCTGTGGCTCGGAGCTCAGCGCGTCGCTGCTGAGTGTGTTCGTGTGTCTGCGCTGTGTGACTCTGGCTGGGCTTGGATTGTCAATGTGAGAATATACAGTTTGGTAAAGCTGCGGCAGGCAGACATCAGTGAAATATTTCCGTGACGGCATATTGAAGCAGTGGACATGAGTTGTTTGAACCCAGCGCTTTCCACGATAGACAAGCTCTGGTGGCACAGGGAAAAAAATTCCATTACTTTTGTGCATATTTCGTGTTGTTACTTACATTCATTACTGTGTAGTTGTTGCCGTTGTAGAATCTCCGTAACTGATAGCTGCATGAGTTGCTTGTTGACGAGAGAAACTTGTGCGCATGAACCCTCATGTCATATGATCGCTCTTTTTGATCGGCACGTTTCACGGGTCACATAAATCACGCAAATTAAGCCGTGATTGGCCGATTATAATCTGTTACCGATCGATCGGTGCACCTCTAGTAAAAACTCATCATTTGATTAAAAAACACGTTTAGCATTGTATGTTATGGGCTTATTCATGTTATTTTGAACACAAATTAAGTGATTAAATGAGTCATGACTGCTAATACTATAACAAAATCACTATTCTGAATACTGCCAAGAGAATATATTGCTATATTTTTCAGTCTCTCAAGAATATTCTAAATCCCTATTTACTTACCCTCTAACACATGAATACATGAATATAGAGATTATTTTAAACATTGATAGCTTAGCGTTATTTGTATGCACTGAGGCTGAGTTTACACGGAGACAATGTGGCAGTAAAACGGTATAGTTGGATGTCGGTTTCTACCAACCGTTCATACGAAGACTGTGTTCCAGGGGGGTGAAAATGTTAGTGTTCAGATCCAGCCTGCAAAGTGGGACAACTCAAATACGCTGCCCAGCGGGGGCTCTCTTTCACACCCGCGAGAGGGGAAAAGGTGTGAAATCCCCCTCTGCTCTGACCCCCACCTCCGCGCTGCTCCCCGCACGTAAATTTGGACATGTGCAGTAGCGGAGAACAAACTTAAACATCAATGGCGGCGGTCACACTAACTAGCTTCGTAGGCTTCCAGCGCGGCACAGAGGAAGATTCGTTCGTCCAAACGAGACCACACGAAGCTCTAGGTTCAGTTTTCATTTTCACTGCTGCTGTTAAAAGGCAGAATGATGTTGGTACGTTCTGAGGGTCTGGCACAGGAAGTGAGTACACTGCCGAGAGGGGGGCTGGGCACGGGGCTGGGGGTCGTGTGAGTGTTGTAAAGTTTCTCTGCCCACTCCTGGCCGGGCGCTAGAACTACATCGTTTTTCAACCTCATGTGAACGCTGAGAAATTTGTATTAGGAGCCAGGTCGTTTCTGTTAATAGCCCGTAAACGTCAGCGCAGCGTCTCAGTATAAACAGGGCCTCAGACTCTTCACATCACTTCACTAGCTGTAGTAAGTAAGTAAGTAAGTAAGTAAAGTTTATTTATAAAGCGCTTTTCACAGATAAAAATCACAAAGTGCTGTACAGGACAGTGGGCAAATACAAACAATATAAAATACACTTACACATATTACACATTTTATGTACTTAAAAGTGACATCAGTGAGAACCCAATCAACTAAAAGCTTTCTTAAATAAATAAGTCTTCAAGCCTTTTTTGAAAGAGTCCGCAGAGTCGACCAGACGTAGGGACAGGGGCAGGGCGTTCCACAGTCTGGGGGCAACAGACTGAAAAGACCGGTCCCCTCGAGTCTTATAATGGGTTTTGGGGACCACAAGCAGGTTCTGGCCAGAGGACCGGAGAGAACGGCCAGAGGAGTACAGGCTCAAAAGGTTCAGGATGTACTGGGGGGCCTGACCATTTAAGGCTCTGAAGGTCAGCACTAAGATCTTAAAATCAATCCTGAATTTGACTGGGAGCCAATGAAGAACAGACAGAACAGGAGTGATATGGGACCTACGAGGGGCACCTGTTAAAAGTCTAGCAGCAGAATTTTGAACAATTTGAAGTTGATTGAGTGCAGACTTATTCAAGCAGGTAAAAACAGAGTTGCAATAGTCAAGTCTTGTTGAAATAAAAGCGTGAATGATCATTTCCAGATCATTCTTTGACAACATATTGCGGATTTTTGCAATGTTCCTAAGGTGATAAAAGCAGTTACGGACGAGCTGTTTGGAGTGTGTCTCCATAGACATGGCCTGGTCAAACACAACCCCTAGGTTTCTGAGGCTGGATTTGACGGAGGAGCCAAGAGAGCCAAGGTGCTGTTTGATCAGCGGGATCTTATGGTCTGGAGCAAAGATGAGCGTTTCAGTTTTGTTGGAATTTAACTGTAAGTAGTTAGTGGCCAGCCAGTCTTTAATGGAGGACACACACTCCAAAAATGATGACAAGCGCTGGAACTCAGAGTCATTAAAAGAACAGTACAACTGGACGTCATCGGCATAGAAATGGTAGGATACATCCTCGAAGTGATTAATAATTTTACCAAGTGGCAAAATGTACAATAAAAACAAAATCGGACCCAAAACTGATCCCTGTGCCACTCCGCAGGACAGATTAGTCACATCTGACTGTACATTGTTTAAAGCAAGGTTAAAAGTTCTGCCATGGACATATGAGGAGAACCACTGGAGGACAGACCCAGAAAGCCCTATCTCATTTTGAAGCCGGTCAATAAGTATATTATGATCCACAGTGTCAAAGGCAGAGGACAAATCCAGAAGTACAAGAACTGTGTAGCGTTGGGAATCGGCTGCCATCATTACATCACTAGAAACTTTGATAAGAGCTGTTTCAGTGGAGTGTAATTTACGAAAACCAGACTGAAGTGGATCAAACAAATTGTGCTGTTCCATAAAGGAGGTCAGCTGGCATGCCACTACTTTTTCCAGAATTTTGGAAATAAAAGGAAGTTTGGAGATGGGCCTGTAGTTTTTAGGTTCTGAAGGGTCCAGATTGGGCTTTTTAAGGATTGGGTTTACCACAGCATGCTTGAAGTAGCTGGGGACTGAGGCAGATGAAAGAGAGAGGTTAATTATTTTAACCACACAGGAGCCAACAGTACTGAACATTTTCAAAAATAGTGACGTTGGGACAATGTCAGCCGGGCTCGAGGAAGGCTTCATGTTATTCACTAAAGTGTTCACATCCTGTAAGCTGACAGGAGAGAAGGACGACCAAGATGACA